TATGCCGCAGGATACAATTTTTTTTTTTAACGCAGTTATAGAATTCCGTAGGAATGAATACAGAGTAGACTCTCTACTTCCGACCTCGTGGTTCCCGTCGTTTCGAAGACTTTCAGAGATCTCAAATGAGGACGCGCCGTGCAAAAGGGCAATAATTCTGTCGGTTTTACTTGTCACTTGATTGCCGTTTCAAGTGTGTTTGTCCGTCCGTGCTAGGACGAAAATGCATGAGAGGGTGTAACGACACAGTGACGTTATTTAACGCGCATTGAACACTCATCTTTTCTTGCGTCGATTGCAACTGAGTGAAAACGTTATCTGCATAACACAAGTATATGCCACTTCGCAATTCCATTCATTACGAAAAGGCTCGCTCTTGTCATCTACGTTATTTTCTAAATATATAGGTACAATATATACCTTTAGTTTTTTCACATACACACACATACACACACAAACACACACGAGCGTTTCTCTTAAGTTTGCGTCGATATTCCGATATGTAACATCAGCGCGTGTGATTCACGCAAAAGCTTCTTTATGCAAGTTACTGCCTTACACATCTTCTATGTATGTCAATCGAAGCAATACAAAAGTTTACACGGTAAAAATGTCAATAGCTTTTCAGGCATCTTTACGACATCTCTTAAACTTTTGTGTTGTTTGTGAGAGAATTTAGGGTGGAGAAAAGCCGGTCGCGTTAAAAGAGCATGTAATATACATCTAGATTGCAAGTTGCAGGATGTAATGTCATCGACGCGTATATCATCTCGCTTCTGCGGTTCTCTGTAAACAATGATGCCCATTCTTAATCGCTTTAAGAAGTAATTACTGAACGGATTAACGGCAGCTTCGACGTCTCGCTTAGCGCAACAAATGTCGCGACAAATTATTATGCGGTTAGAAAGAGAGGAATAACGAAAGAGAGGATCAAGCGACGAGACGAGTCGAATGCCCGAGAGTGTCGTGCGTTTAAGCGAAATATGCGTTTAGAAATTAACATAATTATATGATTCAGAAAAATAAAGAAGAATATATTATATTAAAAATATTTGAAAAAGTATTCATGGACTCTCTCTCTCTTCTTGAGATTGATTTTCGCTTTGAGATTTATTGCCAATCCACATTACGTGTGACATTTCGAGGGATTTCATGATCGCTCGAAATAAAGATCAACTCGACATCGATATAGCGTGGTTCTGTTTCTCATTCATTTTACGATTAACAACAAGATGCGAACGAAGCTTCGCTGTGAACGAAACGAGAGAAGCGGTGACTGGCTGTAAAAATTCGTTCTGCTGCGAGAGCAAGTAGATACTTTACGACAAATAAGAAATCGCAAACTATCAGAGCGCGTAATCGAATTACTGTGTAAGTCTTTTGAAATCATTATTGCTATAAATATGCATATTAAAAGTAAAACAAAAATATCAAGCTAGAGCGTAGTGGACGATAGTAGTTGATTGTTGACGACGACGATGACGACAACGATGACGACGCGATGACGATGAAGAGAGATAATAATATACCCCCCGACATACGATTAATATTTTATTGAACCTTATATTTTATTAATTATTATATATATATACACACACATAAAATTATATCGATACGACTATGTATAAAAAAATGCTACATATATATAGAATATATGTTACTACAAATTCTTCTGTATATTCACGCTTGTCGTTTTAATTTCCTATTTGAATAATTTCGGACATCTCGTCGACCCTGTTTACAGTGAAAATTTGACATCCACTGGTGTTGCCTCGGAATTTTTAACAAAAATCCCGACAAAGGATTCAAATTTCAATTCTATCACAAGGCGATCGAACTACTTTGTTTATCATAAATTATTTTGGCAAATGATTAATTACGCTGCTACCGTTAATTACCCTAGTGGCACAATGTACGTATTGGCGCAATATTGGCAAATAATGTAAATCTAGTATTCCCAACATTGTAAGATGGACGCCTTCTCTTATATTTAGCCAATGTCTATTTAGCAATAAGGTGCAGTGGAGTAAATCCGTACACGGGGCAAATCCGCACTATAAGGCCC